CAAAATATATCCCAAAATATCCAAAATATCCAAAATATATCCCAAAATATCAAAATATCCAAAATATATCCCAAAAAATCCAAAATATATCCCAAAATATTCAAAATATATCCCAAAATATTCAAAATATATCCCAAAATATATCCCAAAATATCCAAAATATATCCCAAAATATCCCAAAATATCCAAAATATATCCCAAAAAATCCAAAATATATCCCAAAATATCCCAAAAAATCCAAAATATATCCCAAAATATTCAAAATATATCCCAAAATATCCAAAATATTCAAAATATATCCCAAAAAATCCAAAATATATCCCAAAATATTCAAAATATATCCCAAAATATCCAAAATATATCCCAAAATATTCAAAATATATCCCAAAATATCCAAAATATATCCCAAAATATCCCAAAATATCCAAAATATATCCCAAAAAATCCAAAATATTCAAAATATATCCCAAAAAATCCAAAATATCCAAAATATATCCCAAAATATTCAAATATATCCCAAAATATCCAAAATATATCCCAAAATATCCAAAATATCTCCCAAAATATCCAAAATATATCCCAAAATATCCCCAAAAATCCAAAATATATCCCAAAATATCCAAAATATCCAAAATATATCCCAAAATATCCAAAATATTCAAAATATATCCCAAAAAATCCAAAATATCCCATTCCCAGCAAGGCCGGGAGAACCCCCAGAGGGGAAAAAAATCCCAAATAAACTCATTTTTCACTGCTCGACGCCAATAAATAAAAATTTTATCAAGAAATTCCCAGCCGGGATCAAATTCCTCACGCCGGGAATAAAATTCGGATTTTTTTTTTAAAGGAGAGTGGAAGAAACGTCGGTTTAGAAAGGTGGGAAAAATCAAAAATAAATCAAAAATAAATCAAAAATAAATCAAAAATAAATCAAAAATATATCAAAAATAAATAATAAATAAATAAAAAATAAATAAAAAAATAAATCAAAAATAAATCAAAAATAAATAAAAAATAAATCAAAAATAAATCAAAAATAAATCAAAAATTAAATCAAAAATATATCAAAAATAAATAAAAATCAATAAAAAAATAAATCAAAAAATCAAAAATAAATCAAAATTAAATCAAAAATAAAACAATAAATCAAAAATAAATCAAAAAATCAAAAATAAATCAAAAATAAATCAAAAATAAATCAAAAATAAATCAAAAAATCAAAAATAAATCAAAAATAAATCAAATCGATAAATCGAACATAAAAAACAAAATCAAACATAAATCAAACATTAAAAAAATCAAATAGAAACGAAATAAATCCACATCCCCTCCCTTAAATTCTGCTTAGCGGGAGCAGCACGGAACCCAGGGGGTTAAAGAGCAGAAAATGTTCATTAATATCAATTTACTGCAGAGAAAACTCCGGGTTTTTCATGAAGTTGGTGATTTATGATCAAATCAATTAAATTACGGCCACTCAGGGGCTGCGGTTTCTGCTCGGGTTTCGTTGGGCAGAGGATGGAGAGCTCGGTTCAACAGTGAGATAAAATGAAGTTATCAAATAAAATTATAAAATTGTAAAATGGTGAAATAAAATAATAACAAAATAAAATAATAGAAAAGAAAATAATAGAAAATAATAGAAAATAAAATAATATAATATAAAATAAAATAAAAAATAAAATAAAATAAAATAAAATAAAATAAAATAAAATAAAATAAAATAAAATAAAATAAAATAAAATAAAATAAAATAATAGAAAAGAAGAGAAAAGAAGAGAAGAGAAGAGAAGAGAAAAGAAAAGAAAAGAAAAGAAAAGAAAAGAGAAGAAA